CGTCCCCCCCCGTCACAGCTGCCCAGGTTCTTGCTGGCAGGGAGGCCGGGCCGGAGTTGGTTTCCCCACAGGAAAAGGGGAGCTGATCCAGAAGCTCCCGCTCGGAAGGTGGAAAGGCTATAAAGCTTAGCCTGAGTGGTGCAAATGGGAATCTTCTGGCATTAATTGATCAGAGGAAGTTATCACAGTCTCAATGAGGTGTTGGGGGTGTTTTCCTTTCATTTACCCTGAGGTGGAGTTAATGCAAAAGGACTTGATGTCCCTGCTACCTTAGAAGGGGGAAGGCTGTTTTAAAACCACGTCAACATTTCATAGAATGGTTTGGGTTGGAAAAGACCTCAAAGATCACCCAGCTCCAACCCCCAGCATGGGCAGGGACACCTCCCACCAGCCTAGGCTGCAGGACAACTGAGCCATCCCTTCCTGTGCTCACCTCTCCCCGGGCACCCACGTCCACACCGTGTCCTGGCTCATCTTCTCCAGCATCTCAGCCTGCAGCTCAAACTTCTGGGTTAGATTCTGCAAACTTGAGTCCAGCTCTGTGAACCGAGCCTCCACGGTTTGCAGCCTGGTTTCTACTCTGAGGGGTGGAAAAGAAGAGCATTTCATAAAGACTTTTGACAAGGGCATGGAGTGAGAGGACAAGGCTCAGCGAATTAAAACTGGGAGAGGAGAGATTGAGGTGAGACATGAGGAGGGAATTGTGGAGTGTGAGGGTGGTGAGAGCCTGGCCCAGGTTGCCCAGGGAAGCTGTGGCTGCCCCATCCCTGGCAGTGTTGAAGGGCAGGTTGGATGGGGCTTGGAGCAGCCTGGGCTGGTGGGAGGTGTCCCTGCCCATGCAGGGGTTGGAACTGGATGATCTTGAAGGTCCCTTCCATCATAGACCAGTCTGGGATTCAGTGATACTCTCAATGGACAGTGATCATTTTTACTACAGGTAAACTGGAGTTCCATGTATGACACCTCAGCAGGCTTGAAAATTTCTGCCTTGTTACCATTTGCACAGCACCTCTAAGGTAGTATATGAATATCCTTCTGCAAATATTCATTCACTGAGAAGCAACACTGTCCCACCTCTCTCTGCCTGTGGGCAATTTCAGACCCTTTTCCAGCTCCTTTTCCTGAAGAGCCATGCTTCTGGCTCACATTTGATGGCATGACTCCTAAGAGACCATCCAGCAGCCCCTGTGCTGTCCCAGTGCAGCTGAACACGGGGACTGGTGCCAGCAGGATTGTTTTACACGAAGCCAGGGGACCTGTCAGTCAAGCCTTTCTCTTCCCAATTCAGGCTTGGAAAATGGAAGGTGGATCAGTGTCACTTATGTCCCAGCTCCTCAGCAACTGATTTTCTTTCTCTATAGGAGAAGTCCCTTCTCAGGGGGTTCTTTTTGTTAGTGATAACCACTTCCTTCCTATTTTTGACCCCACCAGGCTCTGAGGCGTTTTCCCAAATTTAGTTCATTCCAAATCTCCCACTTACAGCAGAGTGTGAACCCAAATCTGTTACCCATAATCTCTGGGCAACACTTGATGGAGCAATTGCTCAGGTCCTGCATCCAGGAGGAGCAGGCTGGCCAGAACAACCTCACCAAACGGTGCAGCTTCTGCCTCTGGGCCCCTTCCCTCCCCAGGGAGTGAAAGAGAAACAGAAGGTTGCTCAGCAACCACCCCCTTCCCACACAATGTATATTTACATCCTGTTACCGAGGTCATTTCCAAGGAAGCACAGGTTCCTGGTGCTGAGAGTCTTGTTTCCCCTCCCCTGCCCCAGCCTCTATGTCCCTTGTCCCTCCCTGCCAGCACAACCCTTCAGTGACCTGTTCAGCGCCTTGTTCAGGGAGCACAGGGAGATGCCGCCCTTGGCCATCTTCTTGGAGAACGCAGAGATCAACACCAGAGTGGGCCTGATCCTCCCTCCTGAAGCAGGCAGCAACACCAGAGACAGGGGATCTCACCCCTGCTGGAGGCTGTTTGTGCCGAGGCTTTTTATAGACTGTGTGTCCAAATATAGGTGGGAGATACAGAGACATGTGCTCCAGAACATGTCACTTAGGGAAGTATGTACCTGGACTGCTTCCTTGGGCCCCCCATCTGTCTTCATACATAATGAGAAGGACATGGAGCTCCTGGAGAGAGTCCAGAGAAGGGCCATGGAAAGGTTCAGAGGGCTGGAGCAGCTCTGCTCTGGAGACATGCTGGGAGAGTTGGGGTGTTCAGCCTGGAGAAGAGAAGGCTCCAGGGAGACCTTAGAGCACCTTCCAGTGCCTGAAGGGGCTCCAGGAAAGCTGGGGAGGGACTTGGGACAAGGGCAGGGAGGGAGAGGACAAGGGGGAAGGGATGAAAACTGGAAGAGGGGAGATTGAGGTGAGACATGAGAAGGGAATTGTGGAGTGTGAGGGTGGTGAGAGCCTGGCCCAGGTTGTCCGGGGAAGCTGTGGCTGCCCCATCCCTGGCAGTGTTGAAGGGCAGGTTGGATGGGGCTTGGAGCAACCTGGGCTGGTGGGAGGTGTCCCTGCCCATGCAGGGAGTTGGATCTGGGTGATCTTGAAGGTCCTTTCCAACCCAAACCAGTCTGGGATTCTGTCAACATTAATTCAGAGGTGACACATAAGGGGGTACTGACACTATTCTTTTTTTTTCCTGTCTTTTGGCTTCTTGTTGCTGTCAGGCCCACCAG